GCATTCTCTCCTCGGTTTCCCAAGTCGCACTACCCGAGGTCATTCCTTTCCAGAAGATTTTTAGTAGGCGAATGGTCTTGTTCCTTAGTTGTTTGTCTTTCATATCTAGGATTCTTTCCGGTTCAACTTTAAATGTGAGATTCTCGCCTAGCTCAACCTCTTCCGGTTCAATGACGTGGGAAGGGTCAGGTTGGTACTTCTTCAACTGAGATACATGGAATACATCATGAATATTGGACAAGTGTGGCGGCAGCGCTATTCGGTACGCCACAAGTCCAACCCTGTCTAGGACCTCATAAGGCCCAATAAAACGGGGAGTCAACTTTTTAGCCTTTATAGACCTCCCAATGCCAGTGGTAGGTGAGACTTTTAGGAATACATGGTCACCCACCTCAAATTCCAATGGTTGCCGACGACGATCTGCATAACTCTTCTGTCGGCTCTGTGCTGTCAACAATTTCTGCTTGATCAGCTCAACCCTCTGGGTAGTCTCGTCTACTAGATCTGGTCCGATAAGAGTCCTCTCACTCAACTCAGTCCAACACAATGGGGACCGGCATTTTCGTCCATACAAAGCTTCATATGGTGCCATTTGGATGCTGGAGTGGTAGCTATTATTGTAAGCAAACTCAGCTAACGGGAGGTGCCTATCCCAACTTCCTGTCCACTCGATCACACATGCCCTCAACATATCCTCAAGAGTCTGGATGGTCCGCTCTGTCTGTCCGTCAGTCTGTGGGTGGTAAGCAGTACTGAACTTTAGTTTCGTACCCAAGGCATCATGCAAGGAATTCCAGAAGTTTGACGTGAACCGAGGATCACGATCGGATACAATATCCTTTGGCACTCCGTGTAGTTTAACAATCTCATTGATATATAACTGAGCCAGCCTTTGGAGGGTATAGTCTTCTCTGATTGGTAAGAAGTGGGCTGATTTAGTCAGTCGATCCACTATGACCCAGATAGCGTCATGGTTCGCTTGCGTCCTGGGTAAGCCCGTGACAAAGTCCATGGAGATGCTGTCCCATTTCCACTCAGGTATCTCAAGGTTTTGGAGTAGTCCTGGTGGTTTTCGATGTTCAATCTTAACTTTCTGGCAAGTCAAGCATTTCCCCACAAACTCAGTCACTTCTCTCTTCATGCTCGGCCACCAAAACAATTGCTTCAGGTCACGGTACATCTTAGTCACTCCCGGGTGGATAGTGTACCTACTTTGATGGGCTTCCTCCAAGATGCATTTCTTTGATTTCTCATCCTTAGGGATGCAAATTCTATTCCTGTATCTTAAAAGACCGTCTTTGTCAATCTCAAAATCAGTAGTCAATCCCTCTTCAACATCACATCGCCTGCTCACAAGGTACTCATCTAGGAGTTGGGCGGTACGAATCTCAGCCCAAAATTGGTTCTTAATCTGTAAGGATCGTAATGTTGCCACCTCATCCTCTAACATTCCCGAGTCCTTCACCCCTGTCTAGCCAGTGATGCTCATACAAGCACAAATGGAAGACATGCACTGCTTTTCTGCTTAAAGCATCTGCCACCACGTTTGCCTTTCCCGGGTGGTACTTGAGCTCGAAGTCATAGTCTTTTAAGAATTCCATCCATCTTCTTTGTCGATTATTTAGTTCCTTTTGATCTACCAGATATTTCAGACTCTTATGATCACTAAATACTTCAAACTGAGAGCCATACAAGTAGTGCCTCCAGATTTTCAGAGCAAAAACGACTGCAGCCAACTCGAGGTCATGAGTGGGATAGTTCTCTTCATGCGACCTCAATTGTCTCGAGGCATATGCCACAACCTTGCCTTCTTGCATAAGCACACATCCCAAGCCCTTTAACGATGCATCCGTGTATAGGGTGTACGGTAGACTAGGGTTAGGAATGGTGAGAACTGGTGCGGTGGTTAACCGCATTTTTAATTCCTGAAATGCTGCCCCACACTTCTCAGTCCACGTGAAAGGTTGATCCTTCTTGGTTAGTTTGGTTAATGGTATCGCAATTTGTGAGAACCCTCTAATGAATCTACGATAATAGCCAGCCAACCCCACAAAGCTTCTAACCTCCGTTACAGATTTAGGTGGTTCCCATTTTAGAACCGCATCTACCTTGCTGGGGTCCACCGCGACACCCTCAGCTGACACCACGTGGCCTAAGAAATTTACTTCCCTAAGCCAAAATTCACATTTACTCAACTTAGCATATAATCGATGGTCCTTCAACACTTGTAAAGCAGTTCTAAGATGCTTTTGATGTTCATCCTCATTCTTGGAGTAAATTAGAATGTCGTCGATGAAGACCACGATGAACTGATCCAAATACGGTCGGAAGATTCTGTTCATGTAGTCCATAAAAACAGCTAGGGCATTGGTCAACCCAAATGGCATCACCAAGAACTCATAATGCCCGTACCTCGTGCGAAACGCAGTCTTCGGTACATCCTCCACTTTAACCCTGAGCTGGTGGTATCCAGATCTCAAGTCAATCTTTGAGAATATTGAGGATCCTACCAGTTGGTCCAACAAGTCGTCAATCCGTGGTAGAGGGTACTTATTCTTGATGGTCACCTTATTCAATTGCCGATAGTCTATGCATAGCCGCATGGTACCATCCTTCTTCTTCACAAACAACACTGGAGATCCCCATGGTGACACACTCGGTCTGATGAATCCCTTCTCAAGTAACTCTTCTATCTGTTTCTTTAGTTCAGCCAATTCAGCGGGAGCCATCCTGTATGGAGCTTTCGATATGGGTGCAGTACCTGGTACCAGATCAATGGAAAACTCAACTTCCCGCTCTGGAGGCAAACCTATCATTTCAGTTGGGAATACTTCGGGAAATTCATTCACCACTTCTATATCTTCAATTCCCTCTTCCGTATCAACCTGTATCGAGAAGAGAATCATAAAAGCTTGGCATCCTTGTCGAATACACTGGTCTACCTGAGCAGCAGACAATAAGATGGGCCCACCTCGTGGCAGGATGAGTGAAGAAGTCCCAGAGAATGTAGCAGTCTTCTTGTTGCAATCTAACACAACACCATGAGAGGACAACCAGTCCATTCCTATTATCACGTCAATTCCTTTCAAGGGCAGGCAGACTAAATCAACTGTAGTATCCTTATCCTGGAACCTAAGAGGTAGATTCAAGCAAGCTTGACCTGTCCTAACTGTCGCTCCAGCTGGAGTAGATACTCGTACATCATAAGGCAAAGGGCTCATAGACAAATTTAGTTTATTCACGCAATCCAAAGACACAAATGAATGAGTAGCACCAGAATCAAACAAGGCATCAATATCATGACCTTGGAGAATAATCATACCTCGAATGAGATTAGGAGATGCTCCAGCCTCCTCTCGAGTCATAGCTAACACGCGTCCCTGCACGATGGATCTGTTGTTGGGTGGATTTTGTCCTTCAGGGCACTGTCGAGAGAGATGCCCCACTTTTTGACAATTGAAACACTTCCAACATTCACCTGTATGATACCTATTGCACCGAGGACATGGTCTGTTCACCATGGGTGCTGACATCACAGATTCTCGACGGAAGTTCTGATTCTTGCCGCCTTGGTTCATTGATCCCTGTTGTCTTTGAAAAGACCCCTGTTGCCCAGGGTTCCTCTGACTCTGGCTCCTGTTTCCACCTGTTCTCCAGGAGGCATTCATGTATGGCCCTCGAAAGTTTTTCTTTTGTATCCCACCGGTAGGTCCAGGGTGGGCAGCATGACGTGCCTGTGCTTCCTTGCATCGAGCTTCTTCTACATCCCTGGTCCTCCTAGCCATCACCCGAAGGTCAGTACACATCTGTTCAAAAGTGGTGATTGGGGTCAGGGCCAGTGACTGTCTTAGAGTTGGTTTGGCTCTGTCTCTGAGCTGCCTCGCCATCCACTCCTCTCGATTACTCCCCTGTAAGTGGGACAAGTATTTGGATAGGTCAATAAACTTGGCGATATAGTCATCTTCATGCATGCTACCCTGTTGTAGACCATAGAATTCATTTTCTTTATCCTGTCTCAGCATTGGTGGAAAGTAGTGGTCTAAGAATCGTTGCTTGAATTCATCCCAGGCCATTTGGCGGCCGTCTCGTGGCTTTACACTTTTCCACCATGACTTAGCCCGCTCAGTTAGTTGCATGGATGCTGCCTTGGCCATTAATTGAGGACTGCAGGAAATGGCCTCAAAAATAGACTCGATCCGTTCAACCCAATTTTCAGCCCCAATCGGATCCATATCCCCATTGAAGGTAGGAGGATTATGGCGGTGAAGGCTCTTCCAGACTTTCTCAATGGAATTATTCTCTTGGGCAGGCAGTTGCACTATGTCTTCATACTGTTTATGGCTTGGTTCAGTACGCTTCCCTGACTGGGAGTGGCCCTCACTTTGATGCTCCTCATTAGGGGCACTTGGAATTCCTTCACTAGGAATCTCACGATTTTGTTTAGCTAGCAGGTCCTCCTGGAACTTTTTCAAACTTTTAGCCACAGTCTCTTCTACTAAAGCTTCGATTTGAGCTAGGAACACGTTCCTTTCCCCTGAGTTAGGTTGTTCCTGGGACTGCTCAGGATTGTTATTGGAAGATTCATTTCTTCTTGTTCTAACCATCCTTCCTTCCTGAGGATAGAACCTAACAGTCATCAGAAAAGACACAAAACACAAATAAAACTAAGAGGAGTCGGCGGGGAAGTTATGCTTAATTCATGTTTAATTGCCACCCTCCTAAAATGTATGTGATGCAATATCCAACATAGTCAAAGCGGGTCACAGAACCTCTGCTCTGATACCAAATTGTAATATCCAATATAAAGCTATGCCATACTTAAACATACAAGTAGCACATGCGTGTGTTTACTAAGGTACATAAAAGAAGAATCTTAACTTTTGTTTTAGTTCGCTAAATAACCATGATATATAAAAAGAGATACCATACCCAAGCACATATCATGGTTATAAAAAATATCATACTTACTACTTCACCTTAACCATGTTAGAAAAAAAAGCTTAACCCCTAACATGGTTATTTAAATCCCCAACATACCTGGTTAACATAGACATGATATAAAATAAATCACAAGAAAGGCATAACTAAATGACCTACTTATTCAGATGCAATTGCCGCAATGTTCAGTTGTGGGTCTAAGGCCCCTAAAGCAATCAATAAAAATATCCATAGCTAAAGAAGCAAAACACTCTAGTAGTAATAACAAGTCTAAAATAAGCCAATAACAGTTTAAAGAACATCATGGCTCCTAGGTGGCAATTAAACGTAAACCAAACATAAATTCTAGAATCGAAGCGCAGTCACTAGTGTAAGTGACCTCACGCTTACAGTGCCTTCCCCGCTGCATCTCCCCTGCTGCTCTCACCTGAAATTGGTGAAGTAACGGAATGAGACCACTGTCTCAGTAACATAAATTCTACCCACCTTACCTACCAGTACCCTTACGAGGTGCCAAGTAGGACTAACAGTTCAAAATCAATAGTTACCAATAGCATACGAATAGCACGCAGACAGACATATCATTCAAGATCACATTAGGTCATAATATTCAAACTAAATAAAATGCAGCATAGTTGTCACATTATCACAATACATTAAATTTCCAGTTCCACCTTATAACCTCCTTATAACTGCCGACTGAACCCATGGGCTAATTGCTACCCACGTCATAACTGACTCTCACAAGCTTCCCACAAGTGTGATGCGGACCGGCCAAAGTCGACAGAGCACACAAGGGCCATGGGTTCCTCCAGAAAGGGTTACTACCCTGGGATACCTCTGGAGTGTCGCAAGCCCAGGGTTACTGCCCTGGTAATATGGGCCAGCCATAGAGCGCCATATGGCGGCCTACCACGTGGTCACAATATCATATGCTTCTGCACAATCTCCTCCCCAGAATATTATCCAATCACAATTCATAGTAATTTATCATATTCACATCCATAGCTATTCAATTTATATATGACATTCTCAACTATAACACACAAGACGATATTTCACAATTTCATGCTCATTCAGTATGGTTTGCCACAGCACCATATAAGTTTCCACAACCAACACAGATAACTAAAAATAATAATTAATAAATAATAAATGATAAATAGTAAATAAATAATTCTAAGTTGGACCACTCACTATGGCAAACATGGTCCTCTCATCCACCTCCTAAAGTTCCAACAAGAATTTCCTCTTCAACAAAATAAAGTCCCACAAGGCTAATTTAAAATCTATAAAAGGTTGCCATAATTCCTAATAAATCTTTTCGTAAAACGATAATCAAATCATCCTCATAAATTTTCATGCTTTGAAAGGAACTCGTAGGAGTCACCAGTAAGTAAGATGAATAGAATTCACGTTACCTGTTATCCTTTAGCTACAAGGATTCAAATAGCAATTTTCCAACAATCAATGTTCTCCGTAAGAGGCTACAAAAATCACATGTATAATATTAACATACAGTTTTGAACTATTAAAACCTAATTTCTTTAAAACTATCCTAAAGCCTTAGTATTACCCCATGGAAACGTACAGCTTCTTCTAGATTCATATTCCATTATAATTTATTTAGCTCACTATGATAACTAATTATATGAAAGTCTTGCGGTCTTCTTAGAATTTCTTAAGCCTTCAGATTCTAAATTAAACCAGTCTCATATTGTGTAGGTACCTATAACTATGGGTTGAAGAAAGAAATTATCCAAGACCAAAGAAAATGCTGAAGACTAAAATAACAGAGTTCACTCAAACTTTGACAACATATCTAGACATTATTACTTTTAATTCAAGTATATCACCATCAAAAATTTATTTAATTTGTTTATTCAAGTGCATCCTATTCCTCCGTACCTACCAATTCGTGCGTGTGTGTGTACGTGTGGCATGTGTGTGTGTAACCACTCCCCTCTACCTACTAATATATGTATCTATATGTGACCATGTGCGTGAGATGCTTCTGACATGAGGAAGGATGATTAGACACAAAAAAGAAAGAGAGACGTGAGGGAAAGACAATGGGAGAGAGGAAATCAATAAAAGAGAATAAGAGAAGGAGCAAGTTCACACCTGCGTGAGATCTCCCAAAAGCCGTCCAGAGCTTGTGGCAACGTGAATGTATTTAGAAGAAGTAAGAAAAGAGAAGGGTTTTTGGGAGTATGGCGGCTGATAAGGATATTAGATGGGAGTAGGAGTAGGTTTTAGGTTTCTAAAATATATCCCTAAAACTTATAAAATTCAAATTAATTTTTTTTTTAAATATAATCTTATATTTCTATATCTCATCTGATCTTGCTTATTATTCTTATTATTATCAAAATCCTATCAGATATGGTAATTTAAAATTTAAACCATTCTTTCCTAAATATAATATTTTTAAATATTTTATCCTCCTTTTATTTATCTTTAAATATTTATACATAGCTCTCTTTAATTATTTCAGATTCTTATTTTCTATTTAATCTTTACATCTAAATATATTGTTTTCCTTCTCTTTTATTTTATAATAATTTTTTATATATATAACACTACCCGTACTAAGTCCCCAAACAAATAAAAAACATAAATTAAAAAAATGGGATGTTACAGCCAGAGTATTCTTTGGCGATAGCATGCTCAAGATGAACACTGTTCCTCTTGTAATAAAGCTCTTTGATGTCCTTTAGGTCTCTCTCAGTTCTTGTCACCACCACACGAGTTACTGCATCTTCATGATCACTTCCAATCCTTTTGATTCCATTCCTCAGAGCCTACATTATATATGATTCATGTTTTTAATTTTCACAGAAAATTTATTCTTAATGTAGTTTTATTCATGTGTTATGTTTTTATTTACTTTTCGAAATTATTTATTTGCTGACTTTGTTAAATTTATTGGACTTTCTTACTTTTCAATCTCAAACCAATCAAAAAAAAAAAAAAGTGAGAATCATATCTGACCTTTTCATAGTACTTGTGAGGATCATTGATGCAACGAATTGCTGTGTGCAATGCCTTGCTGAAGTCATCTGATGCTTCATCCAACAGTTTCTACAGCGATATATAAATATATATATATATATATAGAGAGAGAGAGAATGGAAATAATAAATAAATAGAAAAAAATCACATATAAACACTCTAATATTAAAAATAAATAAGCAATTAATGAATTACATAAATTATTATAATTGGTTTTATTGTTTGGTCATTGATAATAGAAAAGTTTTAACATCTAACTATACATATTTCCCTTTGTAATTGTATCATTTGGAGAATAAACTACATGACTTGTAAATAATACTCCTTCAGGTCCTTATTAGAACCATCTAATAACAGATTTACATATATCGTCTAATAAAATCAATTATTTCTTATAAAACATCAAAATTATTCTCAATAAACATCATCAGTTAGAAGAGAGTTTAGTTAATTAGATTAAAAAATTAATACTTTCAACAAAACATATTATATTATAGAACATATAGAGATTGGTTGTGATAAGGATCGGAGGAAGTAGTATTTATGATGCGCACCTTGGTGATGGAAGTGCCATGGAGGTCTCTGTAGCGATTAAAAGTGGCAACAAGTTGAGTTTTGCTTCTTGTGGTAAGGATCCTTATGGCTTCTTCATAATTGGCTTTGTTGTTTTTGATGGCGTCATGAAGAATTTCAGCTTCACTTTGTGCCATTTTTGCATTTATCTCATCTCCTCCATACCTAAACGAACTCACCAACCCCACCAATAGCTGCACCAAACACACGCACACTACTTATTTGAATTTTAATATTATTCATAAAGTTTCTTGTGCTCGTTTTTCATTTTTATATTAATTATGTTTTAGTAGTATTGTACTACAATTAAAAAAATGCTTTTTTATACAATTATATGATGTTTAGTAAAATTGGGTCAGACCAAAGGTCACTGCTATTCTTTTTTGTTTTAAATTATATTTTTACTTTGTATTAAGCACAATTATTAACTCTTAATCAAATAAAATAAACTACATCTAATAAATGCATATTAGGAAAGGTAGAAGGAATTCTAACATTATTTGCATTTCTTAGTATATGTGAGGAAACAAGCATTCAAGGATAGATAAAAGTAGGGGAGAATAATACTTGTCCGCACATGCAAATGTTTGAAAAATCATATCCTTCACTAATCCAATTAAAACAGTGGTCAAGGATCAGTAGCGTGACCATGGTTAAGCTAAGATTAACCCAAGTATAATTAAAATAATGTAATGTATTTAATATATGCAAAAATATTCATATACAACTTTTAAATGAGTAATGTTTAAATAAACAAAGACATAAATCCACAAGTAAATGAAACATTACATACATAGATCACACAAAATTCAACAAAATAAAGTTATTAAAGCACGAATATGCGAAACTAATGTTTTTAATTCAAAATAAGGTATTCTCAGACTCGGCAATGAGATAAAAGAAGGGAGAATTATAAGGAGATTCTAAGAGAAAAAAAATAATTCCTAATAAGTCTTAATGACAATGAGCAATTATCATTTACTATTCTGGTAACTTGTTATTACAAGTTATTTGTTACTAAAACTTTTTAGTTATTATGTTCCTCACTTAAGAGTTCATTGCAATTCTCCCATAAAAGAAATATAAAATCCAATTAGGTTGACCTGTTCAAAACTTTTGATCAAATTGGTGAAAAGCAGCTAACCCAGGTTAGTTTTCAATACTACCTCTGGTCCCTACAATAAGAGCTAATTGGGAGATTAAATTTGGTCATAAATATAAGAATTTTTTTTGATCAAAGTCATAAATATAAGAATTTAATTCTCTTTGTTTCTCATATTTTTCCAAAACATCCCTATTTATTGTAAGAGGTTCCTACCAATGAATAATTCTAATAATCCATTGCACATGATTGAAGAGGATAATTTAGAGAGACCAACACATATATCTGTGACAAATGGCCAACATAACTAATTTTTTCAATATTCAAAAGATAGTTATCTAGCTCTCATAAGAAGTAATGCAGGTAATAGCATGATACTTGTGGTATGATATTCTCCCCATCAAAGAATTAATTATAATCTTTAGTGTCGTTTCAAGAGTTTAATTTTTACTTCTGTAAAAAAGTAATGGCTTGGTATGGTGAGATCATGATGATTAATAATCAATGTTTTAAAAGCCTGCAAGAAGAAGTACGCTTGCCTGCCGGAGATGGCCAGAGGTATAAGCAGCAACGTCTTCCTCCAAGGAAGCCTTGTAGCGACTGTGATAGGCTCTCCTCACCACCAACAGTTCTTCAGGCGAATGGACAGAAGCGATTTCCACAATGACGTTGTAATCCACATTCTTGTGTTTCTTCAAAGCCACGTTGCACAGAACTGCTTCTCTATCTGCTGGTTCCAATATCCACCGATACACAGCTTTCTGATCATTCCATTCCAACCAAATCAAATCAACTAGTTCTCGTGTTTGTGTGTATATATCACAGGGAATTAATCATCAAAAACTAAACAAATGGTCCAAACAAGCCATATAGAGAAAAGACCTCGAAGTGGCCTGAGAGCTCCGATTCGAGGCGTTTGAGGAGATCTTCTTGGTAAAGTTGGTGGTATGCTTCTCTGATTTGTTGTCTCTGATAAGCATTTCTATGAGCCAATATTGCTATAATCCCCTTCTCATTAGTCCCCCATCCTGCACCATTTTCATATATAACAAAAGCTCAAGGATGTTGAAAAAACTGATGAACAGGTCATTAAACATTCAAGGAACGATTAAAATAATATAAACTTGCTGGTAAAATATATATATATATATAACTTTAATTAAAATGTGCAAAAAATGATTATATATATGTATCTCTGAAAAAAGGCAAGATTTAAATCAGAAGAGGCCATTCAATGTGACAAGTTGCTGTTTTTTTTTTTATTTTAAAAACTCAAAACAACATCGTTTTAGACTCGTCAAGACGAGAAAAAAAAAACTCATAAAATCCAATTTAGTTTATCTCTCCAAAATTCTTGACTGATTTATTCATATATAAACTATAGGTAGTTCAACAAAATAGAGTTATCAAAACACAAATTTAAGGAACAACTTTTTTTTCCTACTCAGAACATCATTTCAAACTCATCAAGAAGGAAATATAACTCAATTAATCTGTCCAAAACTCTTGATTGGAGCAACCAGAAAACTGAGTCACCAATTCACTAATTTAACTGGTTGGTTCAAGTTGGGTTTTAATATGAAAAATACGTATGACTTATATATCGATAGTATTTGGGTGGATTGTAAAAAGTTGGGAAAGCTATATATCCCCTATTTAGGATCAAATCTAGATCGTTATATTAATACCCGGTGATAGATGATAGCTACCCGCGGGGGGGGGGGGACATATGCATATCTCTACATGAACCATGAAGGATATGACATGTTTGATGGATCATGAACATTAAACTTTGAAGAAGAAGGAGATTCAGAAGCAAAAGACAAATAAAATTGGATGTTGAAGGACTGATTTTGGTACCTTTGACAGCTTTTCGAAGAGCTTCAGCATCTTCTTGGGGAGAATGGTCGGTAGGGGCAATAAGAGTGGCCATGATTTTCAGTGCTTGCTCCTAATACAACTGCCTTTGATTTGATGACTACAATGTGCTTTAAAGGCCTTCTATATATAATAAAAAAAGGGGTAGGTCTGGGTGAATAAAATAAGGTAACAAATTTTAATATTAGAATTCGATTCAGTAAAGGATACATAATTGGAAATGATATTTACTGCCTCAGATCTAGATCTTTACTCTTACCTAGAACTTTAATTTCAATTTAAATCAAGAAGCATTGTCAAACTTTTATATTTTCGCACAATTGCCCAACAAAATAATAATAAATATATCCAAGGATTGCTAATTCAAAAATTTTTATTTAATAGTATGCAGAAATGGAATGTTAAGATTTTAGTTTCTATTTTTGATTCCCTTAATTTAAATACAAAAGTACTTTCTACCAGAAATTTAAAAAAGTAATATATTCAATGGTAAAAAGTTATAGGGATAGCGCAAATTCTAACTAATACATATTGCCCAGTTCTGGATATGAAAATCTTTTCGTGTTTGATTTTGGTTTATTGAGAAAGTCATTATTTATTCTTTTTCCTAATTTTTGTGAAATTTTTTTTATTCTAATTTGGTAAATACTATTTTTAAAAGGATCACTACTTTATAAATTGCCACAGCTTAGATGAAAAAAAGGTTAAAAAGCCAAAATTAGAAATCGTGAAAACAGTGGGCATGACAAATTAGTAATTATGCAAACCACAGCTGGAATGTGGTTTTATCCCAATCCACAATGTCCAAAATTAATATATTAATATATAATCAATATCCACTCTATTAATAAATTTATACATAGCTTACATATTTATTGTTTTAAAATGATTTTAACTAATTTTTTGATAAACACAATGGATAAAGTTTAGCTTACATTTTGAACCGGAGGGAGTAACATCTAATTAAATTAAAGGGGAGAAAAAGGGTCCTGACTGGAATATCCAATATCAGTAAGGGGATGATGAGGAATTAATGGTAATCGAGTTATGAGTTCCAGTTTTTTTTTTTTAATTATTCATATGCTTTTTTTTCTCAAATATTAAAATATTGATATTCTTTCCTTTTGTTAATTTTTTTTCCAATTATAACATATAACTTCCCAAAATTGGGGAAAAAAAGGGATTTTCCCCTTCCGCTTTAATTCTCTATTTTTTCCCCATAAAGTTTCATCCCTTTGTCAATTCATCTCGGACAAAGCATTACATTTTGTCCTAAATTCATCTCCATATTTTTTTACAACCCTAAATTCATCTCAACAGATAGTGATAATTAAAATGATGTGATATAATGCTCGAAATATAAAACAAGACAAGGTATGCATACGCGCACACACACACTGAAAAAACTGACATTGGGAAGTTCCAATGAGCTGGATTCATTGTTAATGTCGACCGATTTGGCTTTACAAGTAATATTTTATTTTAGATGGTACTCTTTCTTGTCCTAAATATAAACTTCTCTTAACTTGTAATTTGAAAAATTACAAAAAAAGTAGCTAGGTAAATTAATTAATTATAATTAATATATATAGAATTTGGTATGATATTTTTTCAAAAAATGCATATAGCATTTAACGACTAAAGTTTAATATCTTGAGATAAAAATGTTCCAATAAATAGGAAAATTATGAAAAAAAAAATAGGGAGAATTTCAAATAAATCCAACCAAAATACCTAAAACCAGATTCAGATCTACATTTTTAACAAATTCTTAATTAGATTTTGAGGCCTAATTAGAAACTTTTTAATGTTGTTAAATAACTAGAATGCACTTCTTTAGTTAAAAAGAAAAATTGATTACTTTACCCCTCCCAAGTCAGTCCTTATTTTTTATGTTTATCTTTTAAGAGAAAAAATATAATAAGTAATTTTCAATGTTTAAAATTTGCATATATAACTAAAAGCATTAAAAATATTTTAATAAAAAAATGTTAAATTAAAAATATAAGTAGCCTTTAGCCTTTAAATAAATATTTTTTATTCTTTGTTCTTATCATCTATGTTTATTTTATGTATTATCAATGTTGGATTCAACCGAAAACGAAGATTATAACAACTTAATATTAAATATTTATTGTGATTAAAATATTTTAAAATTTTAAAATAAATATTTATAACGTGAAAATAAAAAATATTTATTTAAAAACTATTTATATTGCAATTTAAAATGTTTTATTAAAATATTTTGAAGGTTTTAGTTATATATACAAAATTTAAAAATCACTTATATGTTTTTTTGTATAAATATAAATAATAAGAGATAATGAATCACTTAGGAGGGATAAAATGATCAATTTTAATTTTTATTTAAAGAGGAGCGTTTTCATCATTTAAAAATATTTAAAAATTTCTAATTAGGTCTCATCTCCTAATTACAAATTTATTAAAAATATATTCCTTAATTTGGATTCAGATTTTATTTTATTTAAAAAGGAGTATTTTGATTATTTAAAGATATTTAAAAATTCTTAATTAGGTCTCATGTCCTAATTAGAAATTTATTCAAAATGTATGCTTTAATTTATAATCAGATATTTCGACTGAATTTAATTGGAGCTCCCCCCAAAAAAAATTAATATGGAATGTAAAAATGAGAGTTTATGTTTAAAACAGACTTCAATTTTAAGAAAAGATTCTAGAAAAATGATAGTTAGATGTTTAAAATATCAAAAGGTTATCTGAATTTTTAAAGTCCCAAAAGATTACCTTTTTGAATTAATAGAATTAGTTTCACTGCTCATTACAGTGATAAGTATCATGATACTCATCAAATATCAACCATTCAAATTTAATATGAATAGTTGAGATTTGAGATTTAATTTTTTTATGTTTAAAATTTTTTATTAATATATACATAATTCAAAATAAACGTAATCTCTTAACTATAAATTTTTTTTAAAAATACTTTGTTTATTTAGAAGTCACCACAGTGATGTGTATATAAGCATTAAAACTGATTTCCTAAATTAACACTTAAATTAAATACTACCTCCGGTCTTAATTATAAAAACTAGTTGACTAATTTGAGAAGATTAAGAAAAGAAGTTAAATTAGTTATTTGTAATAAATAGGTGCTGTCTTTCCTAAAATATCCTTACTAATCAAGTGTATTGACGATAACTACCATTGTTAGAAAGACTACCTTGAAAAAAATACATAAATATAAGAGACAAAGTGGATTGGGGTTTATATCTAAGACTAAAATAAAAGTCAAACAAAATCTTATATTAAGAACCGAAGGTAATACTTATTTAATATTGTAGGATAGGCGAGATAATGACATCTTTGTTGTCATTACCTAAAGCGAGATCCAACGACACAAAGATTATCTCATGGAAATTTTCCTTCAGTGTAAAGCTACATGGTAAACGCCATGCATAAATTATTTTTTTTCAAAAAACTCAAACAAAAAAATTATATTAAAAGAACTTAAATATTTTAGCTTTGTTTAAAAAATCAAAATTAAAATTAAAATTTGCAAATTTTTTTAAATCTTGTAGTGAAAAAAATATTTAAAATTTTACTCTCGGAACATATAATGTGTTTTTCTTCAATTCTGATGGTAAACCGTGTGTGGTAATTATAATATTTGAGAGTTGTTATCACTTTTTTTCCATTTAATTTTATTTAAAAATTAGTAAAATTTTAAATTCAAAAAATTAATTTAAACTTATTGATTCCTCAAAAATAACGATCATAGTGAAACCCAAAAGAAATTAAAAAGCAACAATCATAGTGTTCAGGTTAACCACTCTTTGGCATTTATAAGCTTAGTGATGACACTTATCGGATTTGGTGGTTTAACTTGTTTTAATATTGTTGTCCTCATCCATCTCCATTTTGGTTGGGTGATGTTTTTGCCAACTTTTTTTTTTTCGATGATTACCATGAGGTGCAAGATCATATGATCCTTATATGTTAATGCTTCTAGATGCAGGCTAGGGATTTAGTAATTATCCTCATAAAAAGGATTAACTAATCTATTAATTATTTATTATTACTATAATATCAATATTGTATGTGAAGCCATGGTAAAAAAAAAATTTTACGTGAAGCAATTCAAATTAAATCAAAGAGAGCATGGAAAAAATCCAATTTCAAGACAATAATATTGATTAACAACGAAGGCAAACTTTTTTTTATAGCTTTTGTTCTTAATATAAGAGGTATTTGACTAATTTTAGTAAATTAAGAAAGTTTATTAAATTAGTTAATTGTAATAAATCTATATTGTCTTTCTTAAAATATTTTTGCTAATAATATGCATTAATTAGAATTATCATTTAATAGAACTTTTAACATGTGCAACTACTATGTACAAAGACTATCTTTAAAAAAATAAAAATAAATATAAGAGATAAAATTGATTATGGTATTATATTTAGGAGCAAATTGAAAATCAAATTAGCTCTTAAGAATTGAATGTAGTATTAGATTACCAAAGCATTTTATTGTTAATTCTTCAAAAATGCAATTGATTATATACGCATATTTATAACAGTTTTATTGATGATCTTAATTGTATTCAAGCAATGTTGTTATGATCCTTCTAAACTTAAATACAAGTCACTTTATAAAAAAATTTAATAGCATTCTCATAAAAAAAAAGTTAATAGCATTAAATGATGTTTTCATGAATGTTTTTTCCCCCCCTCCTTTTGCCGTCCATGAGCGTCTTTATTATTAATTGTATTCTAAAAATAAATGATGCAGTAAAATCAATTGAGATAAGTTGATTTTAATCCACAGTGACAATTTCAATAATCCAATTTACCTTTTAATACGTGTGTGAAATAGTTGAAAGTTATTTACTCCTCTGGGTAGAAAGAGAATATTTTTTTTTGTCATATTTATGAATCACTTCATTAAATTTTTACCATAAATATACTATATTATCCTTCATTTATTATAATTGAGATAGTTATTTTTTTAAAAAGGTGTTTATATTAATTAGGGATAAAATTAGAAAATTGTTATATTTTAATAAAGAGTTAATACAGTTTAATATTTTTCTTAGTTTGGGTGAAATATGTTGGAAATGTCTTATAAATAGAATCAAAAGAGCATATTGATCACGACTCACATATCAAATATGTTTTCAAAATTTTTAATTAAGACAAAATGTCAAAACGTCGTCATATAATTTTTTATTGAATATCCAATAAATTTCATTATTGTTTGTCTTATCTAATATCCGGTGTTAGGCATTAATTAAGTTCATTTAGGTTGGTATAATAGCCCAGTAACATCCTGAAGACTATTGGGCTTTGACCTAAATTGGACACAGATGGTGATAACCCACCTTCTTTTTCTCTCTCCCCTTTGATTCCCCCCCTATATAGATCAGTAAGAGCCATTTTTTCGCTGGTAAAGAAAAAAAATTAAGAGCAATTTTTTGCTTTTGTTTTTGTTAATAGCATATTCTTCCTGTAGGAAAAACAAATAAAACTTGTTTTCATGGCTTGATCCTAGGAGAGAGCATCTCCTCCTTCTGTTCCACAATATAAATCATTTTAAACCAATTCATCAATATAAAAAAAAATGGTAGTTAATTTATTAAATATATTTCAAATTGACAAATTACTCATATTAAATAAGGTTGTAAAGGAGAGAAAAATACAAAGAATTACATTTAAGCATTAATTACGGGGATAAAATTAAGAAATAAACATTAATTACTCTTCAAATCACCGATATTTTGCCAAGCTATTCTGCAAGAAGCAATTTATATTGTGGATAGGATGGAGTACATTACTTATTAAATGCATTCATTATTATTGTCTCATCTATTTGTAAATTAAAAGCTCTATTTTTTTAAGCTTCAAATCAAAGTTTGTATCTATTCTTTGAAAAGTTTATATCCTTAAACTTATTTCAATGCGCTTATGAGGAATACTCATTGTGAGATATCACATTGAATGGGATTTTTGGGTTACACACACACACACATAAAGAATTATAGTTTAGAACGAAGCAGTTAATCATTATTCAAATGAGGAGGAAACATGAGACCGCCCCTCATCATTGTCACATGCAAGAAGTTAAAAAAGCCAGAAACAGACTCGAATGAAAAGGGAAACATGAGACGACCACATAGACCAATATGAACTAAATGGATCAATAAGAATGTTCATCACATATAAACTCCCTCATCCTAATTAGAGAATTGAACTGCTTAATTAATCTTAATTTCCCAGAAGAGTGAGGAGAAACTTCTTGTAATCTCCAGAAAGTTCCTTGGCCACAGAATGCTCCAGATTCTCACTGTTTCTCTTGTAATAAAGATCCTTAATCTCCTGCAAATCCTTCTCAGCTCTTGTCACGATCACACGAGTCAGTGCATCCTCATAATTATTCCCTATCCTTTTAATCGCATTCCTCATAACCTATAAATAATCACAAATTTAATTTTCAGGGTAAGAAAAATCGTAGTGTCCGTTGGATACAAATTAATTAAAGATGTCTATGTATATTTATGTTGTTCAATAGAATTAGGTTAAAGCTGAATTCATCTCAAAAGATTACTTTGTTTACATGTAAGGTAGGAGAGCTTCTTGAACTTATAAACCCGATTTCTTGACATAGATCTCATAACAAATTTCTTCTAAATATTTATACTCATATATCACTTTATTGTCGTATATTGGAATGTTATGAGTTTGAACTTGTTACAGAAGTAATGTTAATTATTAATTAAATTATACCTTTTCATAGTACTTCTTATGGTCATTGATGCAACGAATGGCAGTGTGCACTGCCCTCAGGAAATCATCAGATGCACCATCCAGCAATTTCTGCCCCAAAACAGCAGAATGAGAAATAATTATTATACATGAATGTAAATGAAAAGTTTCAATAGTAATTAAGGGTTGTTCTTAATGTTAATGGTTTAATTTGATGCATATGGATATAATATAATGAATGAAAATTAATTGTTAGACCTTAGTGATGGAAGTTGCATGATCATCTCTGTAGCGATTGAAAGTTGCAACAAGTTGAGTCTTGCTTCTTGTAGTAAGAATCCTTATGACTTCTTCGTAATTGCCATTCTTGCTTTTGAGAGCATCATGAAGAATATTAGCCTCTGTTTGTGCCAACCTCGCATTTATCTCATCCCCTTCATACCTGTACGAGCTCACCAACCCCACCAAAAGCTGCTCAAAACCATCAACCAACGTCACTATTTACTCATCCTTTTAATTAGCAACACATATACATATATATACATATATATTTATATATAACTAAAGGAGAATTACTATGAAATCTCAAGAAAAGAATGTAATTATCAAAAACTTCCAACGACATTTGAGCTACATGAATCTGTTATCACTGTGTGTTGCTCCATTGTTTAGAGACTTTCATTGTTTAGAGACTTTTCAGTGATTCTATTTTTTGTTTTAAGACTTTATAATCTTTCTCTCTATAACTAATGAGTAATACTTAGCACATCAAGGCTCTTCTAACTTGACCAGTAATCTCTCGTATGTGAGTCCTAAGGATGTGCATTAATAGCAAAACTTATTTATATACGGCTCTACATGGCTCAGATTAGTTGGTTAGAAAAGTTATTTCTATGTTTTTTGCTTCACCCACGTAAATTTAGGAGATATTATTAGCCCCTTATACATTATCTCTGGTCCTAATTATGAAATCTCGTTTATAAACTATAACCAAGGTTTTATAATTAGGACCAGGGGCAGTATATACCAACTTTCACAAACCTATATACATGAAAAGCCTGATGAACAAGGTAGAACATCCTGCCTACAATATTGATACATAGCCCTACTAATTAGTGTTTTATCAGCTCTAATCCTTAGGGCCTGTTTGGGTATCTCTAAACCGTGGTTTCAGAAGCACTTTTCCGCAAAACGAGATAATCTCCTCCACATATTTACTTCGTAATCCGTAAAAGCACTTCTGAAACCAAGGTTTGGTTTCTATCCAAACACACCCTTAATAGAAGAGCTAGTGTTAAACAAAACTTGCCTGACGAAGACAACCAGAGGTATTGGCAGCCACATCTTCTTCCAGAGAATGCTTATTACGATATTGATAGGCTCGTCTCACCGCCAAGAGTTCTTCAGATGAATAAACACAAGCGATTTCCACAATGACGTTATAATCAACATTCTTGCTGCTCCTAATGGCCACATTCGCCAACACTGCATCTCGATCTGTTGGTTCCAACACCCATCGATACACTGCTCTCTGCATATTATTTTTGCCCGAAAGTTAATAGACATCAGTAATATCATGAAAGAAAATAGAACTACTTTGAACAAAGTTATAAGAAGCTATATATACCTCAAAGTCACCAGAGAGCTCAGACTCAAGGCGTTTGATGAAATTCTCTTCGTAAACTTCTTCATAAGCTTGTTTGATTAGCTGAATTTGAGAAGAGTTTCTGTGACCCAATATTGTTATTACTGCCTTCTCATCAGTGCCCCATCCTACAAAAATGAATCAAACCTAAGCACAATTAATCTTCTCCTCTAATGATAAAAGCGATTTCGTGTCACTAAAGATGTCAGGTATTGAGTTTAAAATTTGTTTTAAATAGTTCCTTTTATTTGCAACCCAACCCGACTTCAATTCGGATGGCTTTTAGTATTAAACTACAGCTCAGGAACACTTCTTCTTCTTTTTTGAGGGGAATGCAGCAAGAGGCATAAGTGGGATCAAACTCATGACGTGTAACTTACTCCTCTTGTCTCAAATATGAGATCCATTTTATAATAAGGAACAAAACATTGGACTAGATACTAAAACCAAATGGGATCATTGGTTAGTTCACCGATTTTCTAGTTGAATCGGCTGGTTCATTTTGAATAGTTGGTAGCACTAGATCCTGAACAATTTGAGTAAAAATAGTCAAGGTTTAATTTACTGAGAAATTAGATGTTATTATATACCTTTGAAGGCCTTGTGGAGAGCCTCAGCATCTTGAAGAGGAGAGATTTCATTAGGAGCAACCAAGGTGGCCATTGATGAAATTACTTGGAGAGCTTTCTTTCACACAGCCAATAGATGAAGAAGATAATGTATTATGATGAATTTAGGGTATCATGGAAACCTCAATTTATAAGCCAAACTGGCTTCGTTGGAATCAACGCCTGCTCATGCTTGTCATGTGTTGTGCTTGAACTTTGTATATAATTAATTTAATTAATAAAAAGGTTTATTAGTATTCCTTAACTGCTAAGGACTAGCTATTAAAATAATGGAAAACTTGATTCCCTGCTTCACTGGCTCAAGGTTGTTTCCTCGGAAAAAGAAATATGCTGTTGCATGTATGATAATTCATGAGTTGCTTTTTGGCCCCTTATCACTGCATGAAGGACATTTGGCAATTTTTTTTATTAACATTTTCATATTGGGAGAATAAAATTTTTTTTTGAATTTTAAAATTTCAAATCAGTTTGTTCATTACACTTTAATACAATTGACAACATTTAAAAAGTAAATAACAACATATTTTTGTAATTATCCTAATTTGGGATTTTGAAATTTTAGAAGTATTTTTTTGAAAATTTTTCTTTCATAGTTACTTAATTATTATTTTATTTTTCATACCATATTAAAGGGTATCAATTAATTTATCATTCTAAAATATATTCCTTTGATCCGGTTTACAAGGCATTTTTAGCATGTTTAATATCAATTAAAGAAAACATTAAATTGTATTAACTCTTGATTAAACTATAACAAATTTTTAAGTTTACTTCTATTAAATATGTGCATCTTTAAAAAAAAATAATTCTCAACACTATAACAAGTAAAGAACAAAATAGTACATTATGCTAAAAATTTATTGAAGTGACTTAAATATGACCATAAAAAACATTTTCTCTCTTCTTTATAAATAGGGCTAAAGGAGTAAAACACTATCTCAATTTTTATTATAAGGCGCTTTTTAAAAGAGATATATAATTCTTACTACAAATGATTTTTAATTATCTTTCATATTTAAAGGTATTAACTATAGGGTTAACTATATCCTGCAAATAATGTATTGCAGATATGAAAATATTTTGTTTAAATATATGCTAAAATGAAAAAATATTTATTCGATTTTTGGCTAATAAGCTAATGACTTAATCACTTATTCTCCATTATTTCGATGGGATGGTTAGAAGTGCCATATAATAGGAATAGGAAGGAGTATACTATAAGTCTATAACAAATTAAATCATCTTATTGATAAGCCACAAATATTATAATGTATTCTAAATCTTTTGCAATGTACCGAAAATTTTCTAAAGAAAATTGGGGGGAAAACAAGTGGGGGTCATGAGGAATGTTTGCTACCCCAACCCCCCCCCCCCAAAATAAAATAAAGCGACGCTCTGAATTTGATGCTAAATAAACAGTTTTCATGAAGTTTTGTCTCCATAAAAGGCCAAAAAAGTCTTTCCCCCAACGTTAAAATATTTCTAAATATCTCACTGGATATGCGATATATTTTAATATAGTGTGAACGGAAGAAAATTAGACTGTAAGTCACGTGAAGCATTTTGGAATGTTGTGCTTTCATTTTATGCATTGGATTGATCGTTCCACACCTAATCTGAAAACCTATTTACTAATATTTTTTTATTTTTAATATAAGAGTTAGATAACTAATTTATAAATATAAAAAGAATAATTAAGTTAGTTATTTGTAATAAATAGATGCTATCTTTTTTAAAATATCATTATTAATCATATGCTTTTTAACTATTTCTTAATAGTAGTTACTTAACAAGTGTAGTTACTATTTACTTGAAGGCAAAAGTGGATAAATAGTAAAAACAATACGGATTGAGATTTTATATTTAAGATCAAATTAAATCTCAAACTAACTCTTACATTAACCACAGCAGGCAGTAGATGTTTTTGTCCAATTTGAATTCCTCTACAATTTTGAAAAAATGATAGGACTCATAAGTTTGATAAATCATTTTATCCCTCCTAGTTGATGAGTGTGTGATATGCGAACCCTCCTATAGTTTGTTCTTTTAGTTGGTCCCCCCCCCCAAAACAAAAAAAAAAAACCATTCAGAACATGTAAAGAGAACTCTGTTTTTTGTTTTCCTTTTGTGGCCGATTTTTATTTAAGGGGACAGCAATATGTAGCTTGTTTTTTCATTATTCATTTATGAGTTAGGAGTGTTTGAATGAAACCAAACAATAGTTTAAAAAATAGCTTCTAGAGAATAGATTTTAGAGAGAATAGATTTTGAGAAAAATAGATTTTCTGAAAAAGTGATTGGATAAAGTAAAAGTACTTGGATAGTTATTATTAGCAGCACTTTTCATATGTATAAATTATTGAAAAGGGCATACAAATATGATAATTACATAAAAGATGGATTTTATAATATATTTTAATTTGAAGAAATAAAATTATTAATAATATATTTTTTTACCAACATAATTAATAATATATAAGAAAATATAATTAATAAATAATTAATATATGTACATATATTTATATAAAAAAAAGATTAAGTATGTTTATAGAAAAATGAATAAAAAAGTGCCGTAATAATTAAGATTTTGCATCGATATGGAGCATTTATAATAAGTTTGTTTTTTTAACTACATATTACCAGTCTGGTCAAAGTTTTCCTTCAATGAAAGTTTAAGACCTTGTCTACATATTAACTCTCCAATTAGATTTTACATTAATGACTGGAATAATAATCTTACATTTAAGACTAATATTAACTCTCCAATTAGGTCTTACATTAAAGACTAGAATAATAAATTTGTTACTTTTTTTTGCTAACATAATAAACAATGTATAAAAACATATATTAATTACTATATCTAGCTCTAAATAATTTGAGTAGATTAAAAAAATAAGTTAAATTAGTTATTTGTAATAAGTAAGTGTTGTATTTCCTACAATATCCCTATTAATCAAGTTTATTGGTTATAACTTGAAAAACGATACACAAATATGAGAAATAAAGTAGATTGAGGCTTTATATTTAGGACCAAATAAAAGTCAAATGAAATCTTATATTAAAGATAAGATGTAGTAATTGTTAATATGTGTATATATAATTATAAAATATAAGATTATGTTTTTAGAAAAATAAATAATTTTTTCAACAAAAAAAAATTACTGTAGGGGGTGGGGGGAGAACCGCTTAAGAAGCAAAATTTTTTACTTATTACAAAACCTTGGTTTTGATAAGCAAACCATGATTTTATGATAAAACCATGGTTTCAAAAAAATTGATGGGTGTTTGGGTAATTTTTTTCCCAAATCATATTTTGGGCAATCACCTAAACATCCCCTGACTCATTACATGTGGTTATAATTTTTTAATTATTTATTTTTATACTTTTTTATTATTGTTTTTCATTCTTATATTATACGCCATTTAAATTAAAACGCGTCTGCCTGTAATTTTATAAAGACTTGAATTTGAGTTTAACGAGGCTAACCTTGCTGATGTGACAATAACAGTATTAAGTAGGCTGGTGTGGACTACTGACTAGGACTAATATGACTTACGTGGAGACTAAATCGTGTTATAAATATGAAAACTTAAAATGAGTTTAACCTTTAGTAATTTAAACGTTTACCAGAAGACGAGAAAGTCCGAGAAACTTGACATTATATTGACTAACAAAATCAGTTTTGAGATGAGAAATCCATTTTCAACGACAACAATAATGTATACTCTTTTGATCCTATTTATAAAGTATTTTTAGTATATTTCACACAAATTAAGAAAAATTTTAAAATATGTTGACTTTCCATTCTTTCTAACTTTATCCACATTTAATATATACACCTTTCAAAAGAGACAACTACTTACACTATAATAAATAAAGAACAAAATAGTATATTCATGCTAACGATTTATTGAAGTGACTTATATATAGGATAAAAAAAAACTTCTCTCTCTAGTATTTGAATTCATAAGAACTTAGATTTGACTTATTTATTTTTGTTGGTAAAATTGAGAGCTGAGCCCAAGATTAAATTAAAGGGAATTAAGTCCCACAGAATCATTTGAGAGCAACGTTTTCTAAGTAGTCCTTGCTTAGTTAGTGCATTAGCTAACTGATTTGATTTAAAAGTAAGAAAATAGAGTATAAATTCAAATGTTAGAAATCATATCATATTTTATAATTGGAAATCAACTTCTCCACTCAAATTGATTTTGTAAATTAAAAAACAAGTTACATTTTATTAATCACAAAAAAGTTCAAGTTACACATGCTAAGAGCCAAAACCAAAAAATACCTAAACGTACAACCCATTACACAAACCTTATGAAAATAATTGAACTCACTATAAGTCCTTGTACTTTTAGTATATTTTGATTTTGGTCCTGCTACTTTTAACGGGTTTTAATTTTGATATACGAGGTCTTAATTAGCAGTCCACGTTAGCCTATTTAACTATATGTTGTTAAACTCATATCTAAATTCTTATAGAGCTATAAAGGTCAATATTTTAAACAACATAAAATGTGAGGACAAAAAACCCAAAAAAAAAAGGACCAAAACCAAAAAATAAAATAACATTTACTGTTGTAGGATTCATATTTTATGGCATCAATAATCTATATATGATTAGAAGAAATATAATATGCAAAAATAATTATATTATTGAAAACATGAAGCTAATTTTTTCCTTAAAAAGTTAAAAACTGAATAATACTCACTCCGATCCTAGTTACAAGTTCTTATAATTAGTACTAGAGGTAGTATATATTCTTTTGATCCTCTATGTATGTCACATTCTAAATGAAACTTATATGCTTTTGAAATATTTAATGATTTATTTCAGAAACAACTCTCTTACAAGTATTAATAAAGATTTAGATTTTAAAAATTATTAGATATATATAGTAGAAACTGAAATATTAAATTGGAAGAATTGGTAAAAATAAATTCCATTTGCGACATATTTATAAAGAATAACAGCTTTTCTTAATCTTAATGAGATAGTTATTCGTTCCTTGTACTCAAATCAGGAGAGTCTAGTTCATCCCAAAATAAAAAATTAATATTTTA